ATATATATATATATATATATATATATATATATATATATATATATATATATATATACATACATATATCAAATCACAATATATATCCTGCACTATTTTCTCCATTACAGGCAGCAGGTACGACCCCCCACAAGCAAGGGGGGGGCGGGGGTCGACATTCCAGAGCCAGTCGTCTCTGCAGCCTTCGTGGGGGGCGCCGACCCAGCCGCTGGTACGGGTTAAGGGGATAACTGGATTGGGATGATGATGAGGATGGTGATGATGATGATGAGGATGATGATGAGGATGATGATAATGATGATGACGATTATTATTATCATCGTCATCATCAGCAGTATCAGCAGCAAAACTATTCATATGTTTTTTTTTTTTTTTTTCTTTTTTAGATTAAACAGTAGAAATATTCATAAAAGTTGTAAAATTACTCATAAAACTATAAAGTTGTTCATAAAAAATAATACATAGTTATCATGAATCAATAACGAGAGAGAGATATTTAGGCCTATATTTCTCCCCACTAGCAACAGTTGCAATCGAAGACGGAATACCTACCTGACGAAGGCTTCATCGAGGGCCAGACTGAAGCTCCAGGGTCGGTCTCTCGCGCCCCTTCCCAGGCCCCCTCCCCGGCGCCCTTCCAGCCTGCTAATTCTCCTGCTGGTCCGGAGGAGGAGGAGCAGGAGGAAGTGCAAGAGTCCTTCAACATGCACAAGTGGAGCGAGGACTACGTGCACCTCGCGCAGGCCGTGTACGGGGCCGACCACGACCAGGCGGGTACGTGCTGCGAGGGAGGGCGCGATGGGCGGGGCAGTCATAGACGCAGGCGGACATAGACACGCGCATACACACATACACACACGCATACGCATATTCATACACATACGCATGCACACACATAGATACATACATACATAAATCCATACGTACATGCACACATATAATATATACATATATATATGTATATATATTTATAATTATACATTTATATACATATGATTTAGCATATATATACATATTACAAATAGTACATGTATTATATATAGTAAATATATGTATATATATATATGTATGTTTTTTTTTCTTTTTTTTTTTTTTTTAATTAAAGCCGAATATACTGAAAACGAAAAAGAAAAATAACCCTCCCCCCCGCAGGGTACCTGCCGCCGGAGGAGGTCCGCCACGTGGCCTCCACCTACAACCTCGTCTACAACCTCAACATCTCCGAGGCGTCGTTGACCTCCGCCATCTCGTCGGCCACTGACCCGAGCTACGGCGAGGTCAACCTTGAGTACTTCGTCGCCAGCCTCCAGGACCTTCATTTCCAAGAGAAGGGAGCGTATTGAGTACAAACTTCGGATTGGCTGGCGACCGCCTTCGAGTCTTTTGTTTGGAACAGTTTTTTGGTTATAGACTTATAGTCTTTCATTTTTATTTTGTATTTTTTTAATTGTCAATTTTTTTTTAATTAAGCCGAATATACTGAAAACGAAAAAGAAAAATAACCCTCCCCCCCGCAGGGTACCTGCCGCCGGAGGAGGTCCGCCACGTGGCCTCCACCTACAACCTCGTCTACAACCTCAACATCTCCGAGGCGTCGTTGACCTCCGCCATCTCGTCGGCCACTGACCCGAGCTACGGCGAGGTCAACCTTGAGTACTTCGTCGCCAGCCTCCAGGACCTTCATTTCCAAGAGAAGGGAGCGTATTGAGTACAAACTTCGGATTGGCTGGCGACCGCCTTCGAGTCTTTTGTTTGGAACAGTTTTTTGGTTATAGACTTATAGTCTTTCATTTTTATTTTGTATTTTTTATTGTCAATTTTTTCGATCATTTTGATTTATTTGATTTTTTTTTTTGCGTTTTTTGTTTCCTTTCATTCTCTTATTTTTGTTTAGTTTATATTTCACTCTTTTTTACCAAGGATATTATATTGATTTATATATATTTTTTAATCTCCAGCTCCTCCTCCTCTTCCCCTTTTCACTTCTCTGCATCTTCCCTGTTCTTTACCGCCATCATAAGATAATTTAGGGAAGAGGAGAACGAGTAAAAAATCATTATAGAAGTTCTATCTGTCAGTGTATTTGCTTATCCGAGCTACTGATATAACTCTAAATCTATCTGAAGGAGAATGTACCGTGAAACTTCTCCCTTTTTTAGATGTATTGAATCAAATAACGTATAACTGCTGATTGTCTAATTATCAGAGCAGTGGTTCTTAAACTGAGGCGGGGGGGGGCGCCTCCCTAACTGGGTTTCAGTATTTCCCAAAGGGGGTGCGAGTCCTTGGGTAAAAAGGGCAATGATTTTTCTAATTATGTTTGTTATTCTCTTAACAAAAGCATGGTCACATGAGGGGAAGTTTGATTATAATGCCACTAATTCATACTCATTAAAAAGACTAAGAAAACATTCTCATAATTTTCTTAAATTATGCAAATTCCTGAAGGGGGGCGTCGTGGTTAAAAGGTTAAGAACCACTGACCTTGAGTGAGTGAGGCTTCGAGTCCTGCTCAAGGGGGGATAGTGATGCAGGAAATTTTTATTTTTTAAATTGCTTATATATTAAAGAGTAAAATGGACATGCTCGGACGGAAATGTTCGAAAGAGTGTATAGTATCATTGTTTTTGAAGTACAGGATAAAGTCATTCTGTCTGTCTGTTTATCTTCTCTCTTCTCTTTCTCCCCCCTCTCTCTCTTTCGCTCTCTCTCTCTCTCTCTCTCTCTCTCTCTCTCTCTCTCTCTCTCTCTCTCTCTCTCTCTCTCTCTCTCTCTCTCTCTCTCTCTCTCTCTCTCTCTCTCTCTCTCTTTCAAAGGAGGAAACCCTTATAAAATTATTAGTTGTTCTAACTGGAATTAGCAGCTATATGCCTAAGATAAATTGAGACTTCGCTAAATATACAGAAGTTACGAGAGTTATAGAGAAAAAAAGGGGATTGTTGACACCACCCTCAGCAAATAAAACTGTCACAAACTCAAGGCATTTTTTTCCTTTTTAACCAACCAAACCTTATCATAAGACTTGTTATTGCATTTTTTTTTCTTTGTGATCACCAATTTAGTATGAATAAGTAAACAGTGTTTGGGAAGCGATAACCAACCTGTGTGTAAAATAAAGTTTTCTCTCTTAAAAAAATCCTAATACACTTTCTTCAATACAGTTTCAAACAAAAACTGGATGCATTACCATTAATGAAGACATTTGCTTGAAACAAAAATACATGTAGAACTAGGTAGCCCTCTAAGAGCACCCAAAACTCATGTTGAAAATCATCGCAAGTTTTTAAAATAAATAAATGTCTGTGTAGACCAATTTTCTATGGTAAATGGACACTGACGAATCCTTTAATTCTACCCTAAATCCATGTGCATATCTGGTTCTCCATCAAAATCTAATCACTGTTGGGAATTATCCTATCCAATGTAGGGGATCGCCTCTACCTTGGCCCTCAGCCCTCACCTCAACTACCTTTGTATGATCTTTTCTTTTATTTTCCTTCTCTTCTTCAATCCCTTCTTCTGTCTACTCCCTAAGGTGTGAGAGCCATGCTGAAAGGATGAAAAAAAAAAAAATTGTACCTAAACCTAATACCTAAACGGACTCTGGGAGCCAAGGGCACGGTATTCTCTTGGTTAATCGCCTATCCCTTATCACTTAAGGGAACCCTGGGGGGAAGACTGTTTCTCTTCCCCTCACATTCCTAGACTCCCATGGCCAATAATGTAGATTTTGTACCCTTATCAACTAGCTTATCTATATTTGATTTCTCCAGTTTCCCCATCCCTGCCTCTCCCTTGACCACAGCTCTGACCACTAATACACCCTCCTCAATGTTTGCTGTCAACTCCTCATCCACCCAGGTCATTACTCAACCTCTCTCTCTCCCACCATCCCCCACTCCATCTCCTCCTCCCATGCAGTCTTCTTCGTCGTCTAACCCCTCCTCCCTTATTACTACTCTTCATCCTTATTTTCTCTTTTCCCAGGTCACTCCAAACCTCTCCTCTTCTGCGAACTCTTTTTGCCCCAGCCAAGTGGGATCGATTGCGATTCCCCCTACAGCCTCTTACTCTGGCAACACCCTTCTCTGCAGCCGTTTCAATTGTTCATGAATTGTAGTAGTTACATCTGAGTCCCAAGCTCGTGCACTATCCAGACTGACCTCTTGTCCAATCTCATTCCTATATTAATACTTGTACCAGAACTGTTTCCGTCTCCCCGACTGATTGTCCTGTCTATGACAAGGACTGGTCAGAGTGTAAAAACTACCTGCTTGCCTGCCTTGTTGACTATGATCCTGTGGCAGGACAGTGCTACACTATTTCTCACAGAGGCCAGCATAAGTCCTACACCAATAATGCCAAGATTAGCTTCTGTAGACAAGATCTCTGTCATGAGGTTTTTATCAGTGGAGTGTCCTGCCCTGTTCTACCATATTGACCTCTCCCCTGTCAATGACAGAAATGTTGGCATTTTGGCCACCCAGCCTAACATTGTCACTCCACCGACCGCTGCCCTCTATGTGCCCAACCTGGTCATAACCACTCAAATTGCTCTGCTGTGCCCCCACCCACTTTTTTATTGTGTGCTGTGTAGTGCAGTGGTAGCGTCCTCGCATAGCAATCTTGTTGACCTGCTAGCTGACAAGCCGTAGTTTGACTGAAGTCACAAGAATGTCACAGCAAACCACAAATTAATTTTTTTTTTCAAGATGTCTCAGCATCTCCCTCCTGCCCCCTAACCCTCTATCCAGAGCCATCCTACCTCTACTCCCTCTCACCCCAGTCAAATTCCTTTTCCTTTTGATATTACTGCCTGATAACATTGTAGTACTTTGTATCATCTTCATAGTGTAAATTGATAAAGGCCTTAACAAACATCTGGTATGAAAGGAAACAGAATACCTTTTTTCTTTTCTGTTACCAGATTTTTTTTTTTTTTTTTTTGTGTTCATACTTGACAGTTACGTGTGATCCAGTGTCATTGAATACAAACACACACCTGTTAAAGAACATTTATTTACTGCATTGCTCTTGTTTTTCTACAGGAATTTATAATTCAAACTCCAAACCACACATGTATCAAAACACTACAAAAGACTCAAGTTTCATGAAGTCTCATTTTCACCCACAATTGTGTATTTGTATAAAATCCAGAAGAGAAAAATTCTTCACAGTCCAGCTGAATTTTACATGAAAAAGATTCGGAACATTAAACTGTGACATTCTCCTCAATAAAAAAAGTAAAGTATGGGATAATAAAAGTTTCTGTAAAAACTATTATTTTCTTTGGATATATGAGAATGTAAAACAAGAAAATGACAAGCAATTTTGGTACATATCTCTTAGAATGCATAGAATATTATCAACTAGTGTACCAAAAAAATTGCTGAAATGAATGTGTAGAAATTTAGTGGACCATCTTTGGTTTTACTTTTATATGTAATCACTTGCAAGGTGGTATAAAATTTGCCTTCTGATTCCATAACATTTTTTTTTTTTTAGACTGCCTTGGTTCTCTGACAATACTATGGACATCCCATTATGAGACCTCTTTCAAAATAGAAAAAATAATTCACATCTTTTGTCATCTTTTTCATTACCTCTTACTGTGTTTTAAGCCATAACAACAGGCTAGGTCTTACTCTGTGTGAAAAAGGGATGTCTCAACAGTGATAACTTATACATTGAAACTAACATCCCTACACCTAAATTTGTAGATAAAGGTAAAGAAATTGCATATTGGATAAAAAGTGCAGAAAAATGGTCATCTATATGGATTTCTGGTAAGCATAAAATGAGCAAAATGAAGAAACTAGCGCTGCCCATTTCAAGTCCTCATGCCCTTCAACAAAATGGTACAGATGGAATTACTGATCATTCTTGGAAACCTTGGCTAGGGAAGGTGGAGTAGGCTTTAGAATATGGGGCATATATGTATATATATAATTTTTTTTTGACAAAATACAGAAGTTCTTGGAATTCACTCATATGTTAGATAAGATTATGGTAGAAAAAGCCACTATAATTGTTTTATGAAAAGGTGAGTCACCAGTTTTGGAATCATCCTGGATTTGCTCTTCATGTACTAAAGATCTAAAAGTTTAGTTTGCGTATAGTGAGGTTTCCTACCATAGTATAAACACAGCAGCGTGTTTCACAGTGCAGGAAAAGATTACGATAATCTAAAGCTAAATAAAAGTTAATGATTCTATTCTGGCATTAAGACCACAGGTGATATTTGTTATCTGTAATTACATTCAACCTCCCTTTTCCTTTTGTGGTATTTTTATGAATCTTTTTCATGTTCTTTGGTCACTAGCTTTCTCTATGCTTTGTATTTTTTTTTATAACTGATCAGTCACAAACATACATCCTTCCTAAATTGAGTGAATAGGAAAATATATATGAATAAATATAACTTATAGAACTATATACAGTCTGTAGGCAGATAGATAAATAGACAGACAGATAAGATAGATCAGATATACAGATACATACATACAAGGTTATTGGTTAATGGTTTAACATAAACAAATGTGCTAGACATCAAAGGTAATGTATCACCACAGGATGGTATAGCTGCAAAAACAGCAAGAGGCAGGGGTGACTTAATGATTTAATGATTAAATGTGTTACACTTTAGAACAGTATTGTATTGACAAGGGTAGAGGGGTGAGGTTAAAGGGGAGGCATGGATTAGCATAAGGGGGATGGGTGGTGGTTAAGGGAGATGATATCAAATGGGGGGTATCTATGCATCCGAGAAAGGAAAAGCTGTCCAAGGAAAAAGGAAGTTCAGCTGGTTGAGGGTTCCAGAAAAGCTCGGGTAAAGGTAAACCGTGGACAGGATAACAGAAAGTATGTAACTGAAAGAGGAACACAGCATAGGGAACACAAGGGTGGCTCAGAATGTGACATGAGACAAGGGTGTGTGAAGAACTAACCAGAAAGTCTTAATGTAAGGATAATGATCAGTGGCTGGAATACATGAGAAATGGGGTTGGTGTGATGTGGACACGGCAACAGAGCATGCTAGTGCATTTGCCTGCTCACTGCTGGGGATCCCAACATGGCTAGGCACCCAGCAAAACCTGACAGACTTCTGGTGCATACAAAATTAGAACAAATAGTTCTCCATCTTACAGACAAAGGGGTTAGTCAGACAAACCGTATGATACCTTGTGAGTTACACAAGTCCAACAAGAGTGAAAGAGGAGGAAGGAAGAGAGGAAATGCACAGAACAGCATACAGCTCTGTTGTAAGGAGACTGGACTTGGGATGATGGGGAAAGTTCAATATACAAGAAGGGAAAACTATAGCAATACTAGCAGTGGTGAGGGATTTACAGCTATCAGTAAACAAGGGTACTGGAGGAGAGAATAGACATATGATCAACAAAATGAGCAAGAAGGACAGATAAGAAGATGTCTAATTTGTGTGAATTAGAGAAAACAGAGGGGCAAATACAGGAGCAAGTTATATGCCAAAGAGGAAATAAATGGATAGAAAATATATACATACAATATAGGAAGCTAGACAGATAAATGGACAAAGAACTACATAGCTAGATAGATAGAAAAATAGATAGACAGATCAATAGAGAGACAGACTAATAGAATGACAGACAGACAGAAAGAGACAGAGAGGTAGATAAATGAACAGACAGACTGGTTAACTATAACAATAGTAAATAGACAGAAAGAAAAACAGACTGATAAATTGATTGACACATACATACCTAACCTTCCACCTAATATGATGAATGAATAATGGTTTTAAGGAAAATAAACAGAAAATACATATCTATTTTTTAAAAAATTCTATTTTGGTTTCAATTAGAATTTAAAAAAAATCCTCCTCCATTATACAAAGCTGTTTTCATTCCCTTAACATAATCCACAATTATTTATATGATGGATGATGGAGAAATATTTGCCAAACAAGCCAAGTAAAAGTAAAAGTAAAAATAAAAGTTAAAATCAAAGTAAAAGAATGAAAGAAAAAGTAAAGTAAAGTAAAGAAAGAAAGAAAGAAAGAAAAAAAACATTTAGGCTAAAACCACCCAATGCATCATCAATCAATTGCATCATTTCCCTGTACTCTCTTTGCTGGAGATGCATAGTTTTCTCAGAGTTAGCTTACATATGGTATTATGCACACACTGCTTAATCTTCCCCTCTGTCCAAATGCATACATGCATACATACATACATACATACATACATACATACATACATGCGTACATATACATACACACGTACATATACATACATACATACATACATACATACACACACATATATATGTATGTATCTGTATTTATAAATGTATATATGTGTGTGTGAGTGTGTGAGTGTGTGAGTGTGTGAGTGAGTGAGTGAGTGAGTGAGTGAGTGAGTGAGTGTGTGAGTGTGTGAGTGTGTGTGTGTGTGTGTGTGTGTGTGTGTGTGTGTGTGTGTGTGTGTGTGTGTGTGTGTGTGTGTGTGTGTGTGTGTGTGTGTGTGTGTGTGTGTGTGTGTGTGTGTGTGTGTGTACACCTATGATAATTTCAGAGTGGAACAGAAAATACTACCAACTATTACCTAACATTCTCGTTGCAGATATCAGTATCAAAAAATGCCAATGCTGGTTTAAATTACCATTAATAATCAAAAGTTATGCTTGCTGTATTACAGAATTAACATGGAGCATTAATCAAAATTAATGTGAAGTAAAACACTCATTTGCCAATCACAAAACATAAAATTCGTATGTTGCACAGTGTAGTTCTGTTCATCCTCCTCTAAAGTGTCTCCTTATTCTTCAAAATAAATATATGAATAAATAAAATAAATAAACAAATAAACAATAATATCAAAAATAATAAAAAATCTTTCTTGAAAACCTCTTAATGTATATAACAGAAATCTTCTCGCTAATTCATAGTAGCTCACACGATATGCTATTTCTTAACCCAACGCTGACGGGTGAAGAAAATAAATAAACATTTTACACTCTGGAGATTAGCGGCAATGAACAGACATTGGGTCCAGGCGTCTGCTACACCAAGCCGAATGTTCCGCTCCAAGGGTTTAGGCGTGTAGCCACGGCATACAGCCATACCCCGCAGACCGAGTGGTTTGTCATGACACCGATAGGCGTGGCCTGTCAGCGTCGGCTTAAGAAAAGATTTAATCTACACAAAACACATATGTCATGCGGTATAACTGATTACATACAATACTGAAAGTAAAAGAAAAAACTAAACTGAAATGATGACACGAGATTTTTTTTTCATAGATTTTGTAGCATGAAGTAAAACATGTGTTGTTACAATTACTTTTAACATATATTGTGAACTTAACAAATCCTCAAAACTTAAGGCAAAAATTAGATTTAGATTTTCTTCATCAGCACTGAATATAATTGGCTCCTAGATTGCACTGAGCCGACTTTCATTTTTCTGAAAAATTAAGTCTTGGCAAATGCACAATTGCATTTCCATCCTTTACTATCTGTCAATCTTCTTGCTTTCCAAAGCCCAGAAAAAATACCATTTCCACATATTTCATGAGAGAGCATGTTCTTACCTAACCCAATAAAAGCATGGTTCACACCAATGCATAAACCCTCTCAAGATAACAAAGCATTATTCCAAAGATGATTAACAGAGAAATATAACTACTCCATAGCCAAACTCAAGAAATACATGTATTCCATATCCATACTTTATTTCCAAAACAACTGTCAGGAACATTGACAAAGACCCTTTTTAACTTCATCAGTACATGCTGCAACTGTTGTACTTGTGTATATACAGATTCTGAGATTTATCCAGAGGCAGTGATTAATAAATAAACTTACATATTCTGGATATCACTATCAAGCAGTCAATGCTCTGATAACACAGTTGCTCACACATACCCAGTATGTCCTTTTCCTTTAGTAATATAAATGTGTACAACCAGCTTTATCTATGGTACATGAATATCTTTTTTTCCTATGGAGATACTGTACACACACCACCTTGCAAACTCTCTAGGTACCTCATAACTGTGAAACTTTCTATGCCATAATGTTAGTCTTAGCACAAAGTTGTAATCCTAACAACAAACCAACAATCACTGCCCATTAACAAAGGTACTGATAACAAATGTAAGTGGTTTCATACAATATTACACATGACAAAGGGGAGATATTTGGCACATTTTATTATTATGTAAACATCAAATATAACAATATCCACTTTCAAATGTTTCATGTACTGTAGACACACCTTTAGATGTCCCTTTTAATATATTCAACATTTTCATATCAGATAAACAATTACCAGATATAACTGAATACCTAGCATTTTTTGTAAATGTGTATGTAATTATGTATGCATGTATGTATGTATGTATGTATGATTGTATGAATGCATGCATGTATGTAAGTAAATGTGTATGTATGTATATATGTATATATATGTATGTGTATGTGAATATAAAAATATCTAAATAAATAAATAAATAAACACACACATACACATATATTTATATAAGGAAGAAAAAAGAAAGAGAGAGAGAGAGAGAGAAAGAGGGAGAGAGAAAGAGAGAGAGAGAGAGAGAGAGAGAGAGAGAGAGAGAGAGAGAGAGAGAGAGAGAGAGAGAGAGAGAGAGAGAGAGAGAGAGAGAGAGAGAGAGAGAGAGAGAGAGAGAGAACACAAAAATGCATTGTGTTTACATTTACCCAATATCATCATGTTTATATCCAACCAATGTGGATCTGGTATATGACCTCCCCTATTTTCCCAATTACTCTACAGTGCAACAGTACTATCCTAACATCATGGCAAAGAAGCAACATTTAAGCAGCGTAAGGGATGTCTCAACTTTTTAAACATGTACATGCCGTCCAATACACAATTCTGTAGCAACCCCCTTATATCAGCAGACTGGGATACAACTGCCAACCAAAAATGCTTCGAGGAAAAAATTAAACCATATGGTATAAATACTTCAATGCTCGCACAGACGATACCAGTTTGAAAATCCCTCCACCAGAAGACACAGTTAATATAGAATTCTGTATAATAAAGCTTTGCTGCCTAGGTCCAGTAAGGAGAGATTTTCAGCCTGTATCTCCGAGTACAAATATTCCTCTTAAATTCCATAATCGCCTGTCACCACCTCGGCTTCACTCTGATTGTGAATCCCAGTAAACCAAAATGGATAATGTGGCAGAAACTCCATAAAAAAAATCTGGTTAACAGTGCTCCAGACGTACGCACAGCAACAATAGAGAGAAGATGGGCGTTCTATGATGACGTTGGTGAGTTTGGAACTACCATTTATGTTCTTATAATAAACCTACTTTGTGACTTATAAAGTGAAAATTTGCAGCATTGCAGCACCTGCTGAAAATATCTAGAAGGCAGGTACAAGTATTATATACAACTATATTCATCTCATTTTTTGGAATAAAAAAATATCTAGAAGCAATAGTATAATCTACGTCTTAGGGTGAATATGTCAGTATCAATATATTAGCAGTGTTTGATCTTGTGGAAATACCGGCACCTATATATAAATATTAAACATCTCACTAATTTCTGACAATGTCTTGGTGTTGTCCCCACCATCAGATCACATACCAGTATTTCATTGGACGATTAACTTTCTCACTCTAGCGCATATCATAAGCCTTTTTTTTTTCTTTTCTTTTCTTTTCCTTTTTTTTCCTTTTTTTTCAGAGTAACAAAGTTAATGGGACTATTTTTGTTATCAATTTTCCATCTTCAGCACAGCAGCACTGTAGCATGAACCTAGAGGGGAGCCACTGTTAAGTGAGAGCCAACGTGTCTCGAATAAGTTTCTTGATTGTAGTCGTGGCAGAAGGGTTTGTTGGGGCCGAGACGCTGTAGTTGATCTGCAGGAGGGACTGGCTTGTAATTATCTCTTAAACTGATTTAAGGCATGAAGGAAAGAAATGAATACACATATACACTATCATGTCTCAGGGGGATTAATATCATCTCTTCCAATAATATTACTGGACAGAGAATCAAATTGGAACATTTAGACAAAATAAATAGTAATTGAGTAGACAACACAACATTTGCATTGTAAAATTAATTTAAGAAAATAAAGCTGGCCTACAATACAGCAGATAGAAAAAAATGAGACCATGAATTTCTTTGTTCTTCTTAAAATTATCACTGATTATCAAACTAAAATAAACTATAAAAATGAATGCTGACTATTCACCATCACTGACCAGACAAACTGCTGCACAGGATTGTGAAATATATAAACATCAAGCAAATTCAACATATTTTAGTGCATAAAGCTCCTCATATGAAAAAACAACATTGAAGCAGTTTCAATATTCAACATTAGCTCCTTAGATATTACTAAAGAAAACCTAGATAAAAAAAAAAAAAAAAAAAAAAAAAAAAAAAAAAAAATCTTACACAAAAAGAAAATCTTTCATTAAAAAAAATATATATATAATGCCAGAGAAGATATTGAGCACCTTGTAAATAACATCTCAACTATGAGATTCGAGAAGAAATGAACACGAAATATACCTCTAGCACACAAGAAAATAAATTGTGGCCTGACTTACTTTGAATAGAAAAGGCTGGACATCAGGGTAGGCTGTATCATAGATCAAGTCTATTTCTGCTTGGTTTGGAGGCGAGGGGATGTAGTCATGCCGGTTTAGTGTGTCCGTTATGTGTAGCAACCGTTCTCCGAGGGAATCTCCGACCCTTTCCCGCCATATCTGACGTTCTGTGAAAATTTATCAAATGTTATGAGTACTTAAAAGAAACAAAATTATACAATTAATTATTAACTTTAATCTTTGGTTACCTATGACATGTTTGGCATTTCAAAGCTTCAGTACATATACATATAAATATCTAAATATATACATATAAATATCTAAATATCTAAATATATATATATATATATATATATATATATATATATATATATATATATATATATATATATATATACATATTCTCATATAAGCATTCTCACCATGTTCATTGTTGAGAGAAACTACATTGATTCTAAGCGTCCAAACTTCCCATGGAATGCTTTCTGTTGCAAAAGGCCATCTGCCTCGTTTTCGTTGATAGAATTCCAAAGCAACCTGCAAAAATTATGCTTTGTGAGAGAATACCTACATACAAAACAAATCCAAACAAAAAAATAACAATGCTGTAATAATTAACCTGTAAACATTACTAATAATCATGAAAGACACAATAAATCAAATAACTTAAAGTTATCCTTTATACAACAAGCTCCAAACATTCATATATCTTCACAAAGATTGACACAAGAATGCAATGAGAGTTTTCATATTCAACATAGCCCCTTACACTCCCTTATTCACTGCTGGTACAAATCTAACCACACTTTTCACTGAGATCTCTTCTAATGCCTCTTCCCTTAACCTATTACTACCAGGTACTTGTCCACTGCAGATCTGATTTATCAATTTTTTATTGCAATACATGGCTTCAATTGGGTTAAGTCACCAAGATGTCAGTTATTAGGCTATCTGATTTCATGTGAACAGTATTCATTGAGATAAATGTAGAAAAATGAATGAGAATGAATATCTTCACAATGCAAGAGCTGTGTAGCAGCCTGCATCTTACTATTACTATTACTACTACTACTACTACTACTACTACTACTACTACTACTACTACTACTACTACTACTACTACTACTACTACTACTACTACTACTACTACTACTACTACTACTACTACTACTACTACTACTACTACTACTACTACTACTACTACTACTACTACTACTACTACTACTACTACTACTACTACTACTACTACTACTACTACTACTACTACTACTACTACTACTACTACTACTACTACTACTACTACTACTACTACTACTACTACTACTACTACTACTACTACTACTACTACTACTACTACTACTACTACTACTACTACTACTACTACTACTACTACTACTACTACTACTACTACTACTACTACTACTACTACTACTACTACTACTACTACTACTACTACTACTACTACTACTACTACTACTACTACTACTACTACTACTACTACTACTACTACTACTACTACTACTACTACTACTACTACTACTACTACTACTACTACTACTACTACTACTACTACTACTACTACTACTACTACTACTACTACTACTACTACTACTACTACTACTACTACTACTACTACTACTACTACTACTACTACTACTACTACTACTACTACTACTACTACTACTACTACTACTACTACTACTACTACTACTACTACTACTACTACTACTACTACTACTACTACTACTACTACTACTACTACTACTACTACTACTACTACTACTACTACTACTACTACTACTACTACTACTACTACTACTACTACTACTACTACTACTACTACTACTACTACTACTACTACTACTACTACTACTACTACTACTACTACTACTACTACTACTACTACTACTACTACTACTACTACTACTACTACTACTACTACTACTACTACTACTACTACTACTACTACTACTACTACTACTACTACTACTACTACTACTACTACTACTACTACTACTACTACTACTACTACTACTACTACTACTACTACTACTACTACTACTACTACTACTACTACTACTACTACTACTACTACTACTACTACTACTACTACTACTACTACTACTACTACTACTACTACTACTACTACTACTACTACTACTACTACTACTACTACTACTACTACTACTACTACTACTACTACTACTACTACTACTACTACTACTACTACTACTACTACTACTACTACTACTACTACTACTACTACTACTACTACTACTACTACTACTACTACTACTACTACTACTACTACTACTACTACTACTACTACTACTACTACTACTACTACTACTACTACTACTACTACTACTACTACTACTACTACTACTACTACTACTACTACTACTACTACTA